GTTTTTTTTTTTTTTTTTTTTTTTTTTTTTGGGTGGCCCCTTTAACCCCTTTGGCTATGACTCCGCACAGGACACACTTTTTTTCTCCTTTATTATTATTTTTCTGGAAAAATCTTTTTTTTTATTACTTGCGCCGCTTCTGTGGCGGCGTGTGATGTTTTCTTTGTGTACCCGGACTGATCAGCCATGTCTCGTGCCATCTTTCTTTTCTACTCTTTTTTTTTTATAAAATAAAAAAAAAGAGAGACCTGGTCGGTCAATAGGGTCGAATGCAGCGCTGCAGCGTCTTACCATGTCCTGTCTGTCTCACGGACCTCCCCGTCGTGCAGCCTGCCATGTGCGGATCCGGCGCCCAGTCAGCTCGGCTAGCCCGGCGTTTTGACACATGGCAGGCACGACGGGGGCCACGGAGCATTTTAGTGTGCTGCGCTAGAGAAAAACACCAGACCCGTTTCCGAACGAAGAAAAGAGAGCAAAGACGGCAAGACAAGAGAGACACGGAAAGAAAGAGAAACAAACAAAAAGAAGCAAAAAAAGAAGAAAAAGAAAAAGAAAAAAGGAAAGAAAGGAAAGGGAAAAGCAAAAAGGATAGTGAGCAATAGACTCGTTTGTACAAGAGTTTTGTCGAGAAATAGCGCGGTGCTCATGGCTTCATCGTGGGCTTGGTGTGCATTTATCCAGTCCATCTTTGTCCACTAGTCGCTCTGGTGGGATTGTCTTTTCTGTCCTCACGGCATGGATGGAAATGCTCCCCAGGGGAGCGATGGATTTGCAGAGGTCGGGCCTTGATTTCTCCTTTCTCTGCATGCATTTGGCATGCCGAGCCCGTTGACGTTTTCCAGACATGAGATCCAGGCCGATGCAGAAAAATAAAGACGACGGAAAATGCGAACGAAACGGCGAAAACAAAACAAAGAAGGAAACAAAGAAAGAAAGAAGGAAAAGAAAAAGGGGCTCTTGCCTTGGCGATTACAGGGTGCTGATCGCTGGCAGGGATGCGGCTGTGGGCTTCATTTAACTCGCAGCCCTGTTTGATTCTCATGTCGCGCGTTTAATCCCGCCTTTGCACCAGCCTGCATCTTGGACCGGACCTGGCGAGCCGACCGATTCTGGCAACTGTGGACGGGGTCTCGAGGCGTGGATAGTCGATTCGGCTGTGTATGTATGTACATTGTCGGGTGGTATTGCTGCGGATCATCGTGTAGTTGTGGCGAGAATGCTGGGGAAGAACGAACCGAACGGGGAAAAAAAATGATGAGGAAAAAGAAAAAAAAAATATAGAAAAGAATCAAGAAAAGTTCCGTCCCGAAGCGCCCTGTAAAGGGCCAACAAGGCCAACAAAAAGAAGCCCCTGGGCGGGGTCGAACCGCCAATCTTCTGATTAGAAGTCAGACGCCTTAGCCATTAGGCCACAAGGGCTGTTCCTGATTGTGCATGGACACTTGCTATTTTGTACTATGTCGTGCGTGACAAATAGCAAGACCAAGCGACTATTCTCGCACCCTGGCATTTCCTCCCCGAGGCGCGTCATCTGCAAAGAACGCAATGAGCCACCAATGTAACCCAGCAGTGGCCCCATGCTCTTTGCCACCAGTTCAGACTTGTCAGCCTGGCACTCTCAAGGCCAGGCAGATCCCATCCCCCCATCGCGCCCTGCGCGGCAGCCAACCACAGCCGCCTTTTCCCTGCTAGCACCCCAGCTGGAGTCGAGCTGCTAGCACGGGGCGACCCACGCCCCTGAATAATCTGATCCCCCTGACCGAGTTTGTGCACGCATGCACCAGACGGCGGTGCAGTCGACGCAAGCGCCAGCAAGTGCCAAGTAAATGCCAGTAAACGCCAGCTCGAGGCGCCGCTGCGCTGCTCGCTGTGCCCCTCGTGTCTTGTCTTCTGGGCCCCTAATCGGTCTACAGTCCCCTGCCTGCTGCCTGTGCCTGCCTGTGCCTGCCTGTGCCTTGCTGCCTCCTTCCTCCTGGCTCCTGGCTCCTGCCTCTTGACGGCCAACCAATCCCCTGGCGCCCCGGGCGTCGTCAACCCCGACTGCGTCCTTCCGCCTTTCCGCCTTTCCACCTTCCCACCCTTCCGCCTGGCCACCACCACCCTGCGCTTTCTAGGAGTGCGCGCCTCACCCAATCTTTGTGCGCCTTTCTTGACATTTTTTGCCATTACTTGTCGATTTTTTTTTTAATCTTTTTTTATTCTATTTTTTATTCTATTCTATTCTATTCTTCATTTTTCCTCTCTCGCGCCCTTGCACTCTCCGCCTGGCCTTTCTTTGCGCTGCACTGCTCCGGATGTCGCTCTACTCTGAATTCTTTCTTTGACGCACAAGCTTTCGTCTTCTTCGCCTTGTCGACATTCGTTTTTCCCTCTTCTTCTTGTCCTAATTTGGAGTCCTTCATTTCTTTCTTGGTTCACGATCCTTCAATCTCGGCCTCGCCCCCGCTCCCCTCGCTACGCCACCCCTAACCTCAACTCCGTCGACCGGTATTCCAACTTGTACTCTTTAGTTTTTTTTTTCGTCACCCGTTCCTCGAACAATTACCTGCTCTTGCTCTGCTTCCAACCATCGACCCGTTTGTTCGACAATCTGCATTCTTTTGCACCCACCCGCGCACCCGCGCACTCGCACAAATACACACAACTCTTCACGGCTTGCTCGACCCCCTGAACCACACTCCTTCAGTGCGGACCTATTTCGTCCTCGCTCGTCGTTCTGCCACCCGGGGCTTTGCCTCGTCTCGCATCAGAAGCCTGGGTTTGGGGGCCGTTGAAAGGCTGTCCAATCTGCCTCTGCGTGTATCTTTATCGTCTGTATTCTCTATATTCATCAGATTTACTCTGCATGCCGATGCCACATTCTTGCTTGTAGGCCATTCGTCACATCGTCAATTACCTGCCTCTTCTGCAGCCTACCGTTACGTCTAGCTATTTGCATTCTCGAAACGACCGTCTATATCTTTTTATTTCCTCCAGCCATAGCAGACTCGTCAGGCAATCTACTGGGGGGGTGTTTTTTTTTTTTTTTTTTTTTTTTTCTTTGTGGCCATCTTTTCAGCCATCAATTTAGTGTCTTGCGGTCCGAAAACCACAACCGGAGCACCGATCGAGTCCTAGAAAAAGAAAGAAAGAGCGAAAGGGAGAGACAGAGACAGATACGGAGGATCAGTCCTCTTGCCGGATTTTTTTTTTTTTTTCGTCTTCACGATTCATTGTCGTGCCTCTTTCCAAGGGCACGTTCGGACTTCAAAACGGCTGTGTTATCGCACGTCGGGCGGGACTCGCTTGTCCCCCCTCATCTTCTCGGCATGCAGGATACGAATGGTGCTGTTGGCGGTGGCCGAAATGCCAATGGCAATCCTCAGGCTCGCTTTCAAGGTCACGCTTCTAAGCCTTCCACTAGCGACACGGGGTTTTCTCACGGTGCATTCACATCCAACATCTCTGGATTTGCCGATCGTCATCCTCGCCGAGGCAACATCCCCTCTCTGAACACGCAGTCCATAGGTCCAAATCAAATCGCGTCTCCCAATGCAAACGACATGACTACCCCAGGAACCGCATTCGACATGCAATTCACCCCCCTCCTGCCTTCACAGCTTCTTCTTGGCAGCCCCTTTCAACCAGGTAGCCCTGCCGCTTTTGGCAGCTCTCAGTTCCAAAGCTTGTCGGGTTTCCAGCAGAACCAAGCCCAGGGCAGCAACAGTCAGCAGCATGGCGGCCCATTGTCCAGCCCTGTCCAGCAAAACATGCCGTCTCAACCATACCAGACCCTGGTGTCGCCTTCTACCTACGGGGCTCCTCAATTTTACCCGCCGCAATCGCCAACGGGTGGCTTCAATCTGCAGTCAGCCATGCAGCCTGCCTCCCCTGTCTTGGGTTCAAGCGCTGCGACTGGCACTAGCCGTACAGTATATCTGGGCAATATTCCCGCCGACACGACGGCCGAGGAGCTTCTGGGGCACGTCCGAAGTGGCCAGATTGAATCCGTTCGCCTTCTTCCTGACAAGAACTGCGCGTTCATCTCCTTCCTGGATGCCAGTTCTGCCACACACTTCCACTCGGATGCCATATTGAAAAAACTCTGCATCAAGGGTCAAGACATCAAAGTTGGGTGGGGCAAGCCATCCCAGGTTCCTACTTCCGTGGCTCTGGCTGTGCAGCAGTCTGGCGCGTCGCGGAACGTGTACTTGGGCAACCTGCCCGAGGACATTGCCGACGACGAGTTGCGTGAAGATCTGGGCAAATTCGGCGCCATTGATACCATCAAAATCGTACGAGAAAAGGGCATTGCTTTTGTCCACTATCTTTCCATCGCAAATGCCGTAAAAGCTGTCTCTCAGCTTCCTCAGGAGGCCAAGTGGCAGGCACCGCGCCGTGTGTATTATGGAAAGGATAGATGTGCGTATGTCTCCAAGACTCAGCAGCAAAATGCGGCACAGTATCTCGGTATCGCCCCCGGTTATGCTCACATGCTTACTGGAGCTGATCGTGATCTCATTTCCACGGCTCTTGCGCAGCAGTCCGTGGCGGCTGCCGCCGTTGCCACGAGCGCTGGCGGGATCAACAACTTGGGCAACCGCACCATTTATCTAGGCAATATTCATCCAGAAACAACCATTGAGGAGATCTGCAATGTTGTGCGTGGTGGTCTGCTCCACCACATTCGATATATTCCCGACAAACACATTTGCTTCGTCACGTTTATTGATCCTACGGCTGCTGCCTCGTTCTATGCGCTGAGCAACCTGCAAGGCCTAATGATCCACAATCGGCGACTCAAGATAGGATGGGGAAAACACTCTGGAGCTTTGCCTCCGGCCATTGCACTTGCCGTGAGTGGAGGCGCATCGCGAAACGTTTACGTGGGCAACTTGGATGAGACCTGGACCGAAGAGCGCCTGCGTCAAGACTTTTCCGAGTACGGCGAAATCGAATTGGTCAACACCCTCCGGGAGAAGAGCTGTGCGTTTGTCAATTTCACGAATATTGCAAATGCCATCAAGGCTATTGAGGCTATTCGCGGCCGAGAAGATTACAAAAAGTTCAAGGTGAACTTTGGTAAAGATCGCTGCGGCAACCCGCCTCGACAGACGCAACCGCAATCCCAGCAGCAGCAGCAGCAGCAGCAGCAGGGTCAGTCTCCCGGCCCCGATGGACTGTCTTCGCCTCCTCCCAACGGGTCTCAGAATGGCGCTTCTTCACAGAACGGCTCAGACTCTCAGCAGTCAGCTGCTCTATTCAACGCACAGAGCAATCCTCTCACGCTTTACTTGAGCCAATTGTCACAGCAGGCTCAGCAGCAGCAGGCTCAGCAGCAGCAACAGCAGCAACAGCAGCAGCATCTGGCCATGCAACACAATCTTTTGTTCAGCACATCTCAGTCTTCTCCCAATGAATTGGGCCTGGATGTGCCTCAGCAAGGGTCTTCCTATCTCGGGCACGGACAATCGGCGAGCATCTCGAATGGCTACGGCTCCAACTTCAGAACGGCTGGGCCGACTACGATTGGTGGTTTGCTGGCTCCTGGCAATGGCCGAGGCGCTCACAGCCGAGCAGTCAGTCTTCCCGTGCTTGTTCCGGGATTTGAAAATGGCGGCAACAGCCCCAACAGTCTTACTGGCAGTAACGGCAATGACGGCGAGAGGCGTGGTCACCAGTACCAGTCTAGCTTTGGCGGACTCGGAGCACAGGGTTTCGGACTCGCCATTCAGAGCGGTCTCAACGGCTGGGTTGAGGAGGAAGTGGCCAACTAGGGAATTTTTTCCTGTTGAATAAAATCGACAAAGGGAGAAAAGGTCTCTGATTCTGCTTGGCCGAAAACAAAATCTGTAAGGGACGGATGGTTTTTTTTTTTTTCTCTTTCCTTTTTGTGCCTATTTGTTTTTAATCGCCGTGTCTTGTGGCGGCTCTTCTTTCTTTTTTACTCCCCTTCATTTTCCCCCTTGATCGTGTTACTTTCTGCACACAAAAACATTTCGCCTTGACCATTTTCAATCATTATCACCTTTTTTTTTCTTCTTCCTCTTGTTTTCTTTTTCTTTTTCTTTTCTTTTCTTTTCTTTTTTTTTTTTTTGTCAATGATCAAAAACCTTAATTGTCCTCCTTCAATGTACGATGAGTTTTCTTTTTCTCTGTCTGATTTTGGTTACATTTCTTTAGAATTGGTTCAGACAGTGAGTTGGGTTGTTGAAGACGAGCAAAAGGGTGAGGTTGGAGGACAAGGAAGCCTGAGCAAGGGTCACGTGATGCGTCTTTGGGAAACGAAGAAATTGGAACAGCAAGTAATCAGTGGTAGCACCAGTATCGCAGCGCATGGCATTCGAGGTGGCCAGGATTTTGGAAATGGGCGAGCCAGGAAGGAAGGAACCGACGACGACGCGACAGTTCTTGGGCACGGTTACGGGTAGCCTTTGATG